ACGCATCGTGCGAACATTGTTTGCAAATGGGGGGGGCTGCGACCCCCCAACCCCCCCGCTGTTTTTTTTTAACTGTGCAAAGCGTGCTGCAAAGCCAAGTGGGGGGTGTGGAGGGGGGCTGCACCAACCCCAACCCCCCCGCGTTTTTATCAAGCTGTGCCACTGCAAAGCGTGCGTTATGAATCTTGTTGAAGCCATTGGGATACTAAAAAGATTAAGTTTTTCTGAAAATATCTGGAAATAGAGGTTTTCCGATGGAAACATAGAGATGATAGAGGTTTCCTATGAAAACATGAAGAAAATAGAGGTTTTCTTGTGGGAATATGAAGAAATAGAGGTTTTCCTATTAAGAGATCGAGAAAATAGAAGGTTTTCCAACCACTACCACCACCCACTACTACCCATCGTGCGAGCATTGTGTTTGCAAAAGGGGGGGGGTGGGGGGGGGGGGGCTGCGCCCCCCAACCCCCCCCCAACCCCCCCCCAACCCCCCCCCCCCCCCCCCCCCCCAACCCCCCCCCCCCAACCCCCCACCCCCCCCCCAACCCCCCCCCCAACCCCCCCCCCCCCCCTGCTGTATTCCAAGAGGAAAATGGGTTAATTTTTTTTTTGATGCTTATTTAATTTTTTTTTGATCCCTTGGGCTTATTTTTTTTTTGATGCTTATTTATTTTTTTTGATCCTTCACCCTTTCCTAAAAAAAAAAATCCTAAACCCTAAACCCTAAAACCTCCAGGCTCCAAGTTCAGTATAGGAACTGGGCAACTCGTACGACACCCCGGCTTTGCTCTTAGCAGCCGCCGAGGGGCAAGTGAACGTCGCGCGCGCCCTTCTGGAGGCCGGTGCCACTCGGAGGCCCAGTGGGGTTTAGGGTTTAGGGTTTAGGGTTTAGGGTTTAGGGTTTAGGGTTTAGGGTTTAGGGTTTAGGGTTTAGGGTTTAGGGTACCCTTCCAGTCTCTCTCTTTTTGGGGTGGTAGGATGCAGAAGGACCTCCTGAAGCCCGCCAGAAGAGACACGCCCTTGTTTTGCTTCTACTTGGGGGTTCATGGTACTTATTAACCAATCATAACTGCACTTATTAGGGCACTTCAGGGGCTTACAAGTGGGTTAGAAGTATCCCTAACCCTAAACCCTAAACCCTAAACCCTAAACCCTAAACCCTAAACCCTAAACCCTAAACCCTAAACCCTAAACCCTAAACCCCAAACGGGCCCAAACCCTAAGGGATCTAGCCAGACATCCGAGGCCAACAAGGACCGCACCAACACCTTTGGCTTCACCGCGCTGATCCCTGGGCACCAAATGAACCCAAAAGACTGGGGCCATATAACCCTAAACCACAAGAAATCCGATGAAGGCACATGAGCCTTCGTAGCCCCAAACCCTGGCCCTAAACCCGAAACCCGAAACCCGAAAACCCGAACACCCGAAAAGCCGAAACCCTAAACCCTAACCCCTACACCCTGAACCCTAATCCCTAACCCTAAACCCTAAACCCTAAACCCCAAACCCTAAACCCTAAACCCTAAACCCTAAACCCTAAACCCTAAACCCCCAACCCTAAACCCCCAAACCCTACCCCAAGGATTATGGCCGCCCGGATGGGTCACCTCGAGGTCGCACAGCTGCTGCTGGATGCTGGCTGCGACAAGAACTATTCCATGAAGGATGCTCGGTAGGGTTCAGGGTTTAGGGTTTAGGGTTTAGGGTCTAGGGTTTAGGGTTTAGGGCTAAGGGCTGCTACCAGGTAGGGCTTTTTCAGGGATATTTTTATATCTTTTCCCTGGTTGGGTTTAGTGCTTTTTCCCGTACATGGGTTTAAGAGGCTTATATTTACAAATATTTCCCTTATTTGGGTTTACGAGGCTCATATTTGGGGAACAAAATTGGGGTCTCCTCTCCGGGTTTTTCATTGCTTGGGTTCAAGAGGCTCATATTAGGGTTTAGGGTTTGGGGTTTAGGGTTTAGGGCTAGGGTTTAGGGTTTAGGGTTCTTTTTGGGGGCTTTTGTCGCTTTTAAACTAAACCCTAAACCCTAAACCCTAAACCCTAAACCCTAAAGTAGGGGCCACCCAAGGATGGCATGACGGCGCTTCTTGGTGCAGCCCGGTCGGGGCACTGCGACATCGTGAAGCTGCTGCTCGAGGCCGGCTGCCGTAAGGACCCCGTCGCTCGGCTTTTTGGGACATTTTGTGCATATTTTCCTTTTGAACCCTAAACCCTAAACCCGAAACCCTGAACCCTAAACCCTAAACCCTAAACCCTGGGGGTTTAAGAGAATCATACTTTAGGAATATTTTCCCTTTTGGGTTTAAGAGGGCCAGATTTAGGAAAGACTTTCAAGAGGGTTTTAAGGGCCAGCCTAGGTCGACCATGAGGGCAACACAGCCTTGATGCTGGCAACGAGAGCTGGGCGCCGCGACATCGTTCGCGTGCTGGAGGCTGCGAGCAGCGACGGTGACGACGACTTCCTGAGAGACCTTGACACGCAGACATTTTGATTGGGCCCTTTCTGGGAGTTTTACCAAGATGGGTTTAGGGTGTAGGGTTAAGGGTTACGGGTTTAGGGTTTAGGGCTTAGGGCTTAGGGCTCCTGAGAGGGATGATTCTGGGGGATTATGAAGCCTCATAGCCCATCCTGGTAAAGGACAACCCTGAACCCTAAACCCTAAACCCCAAACCCTAAACCCTAAACCCTGCCCACAGCTTCTTTTGTGTGGGCCCAAGCGCGTCTTGATGGAAGAAGCCAGATCTCGTCGTGCTAAGCCCAAAGCCCTACCTTGGGGACCACATGAACCCTAAAAGGGTCATGGTTCATATAAACGGATTTAGAGTTTAGGGTTCGGGGTTTAGGGTTTAGGGCTAGGGTTTAGGGTTTATGGTTCATATACCTAAATAGGAAAGTATAGGGTATATGACCCCAGTTTTAGGGTTCATGTGGTCCCCAAGGTAAGCCTTCTTCGAAAGACCCCCCAAAATAGGGCCGGGACCGAGCTTGATGAGCGAAAAAGTGGAGTTTCAGCAATGGTGATTAGGGTTTAGGGTTTAGGGTTTAGGGTTTAGGGTTTAGGGTTTAGGGTTTAGGGTTATATCCCCTCATACAACCCAAGATGATATGAACCTGATTATAGGAACCCCAAACAGGCACCTCATTCCGAGACTTGGCCTCACTCTCGGACGACAACGTCCCACATGTTGTTTTAAGGCTTCACGGGCACAGGAGAAAGTTTCAGGTCTAGGGCTTGGTTGAATATCAACCCCCCAAACAATGTATCAGAGGTTTCTGCGTGCCCTAAACCCGAAACCCCTGAAACCTGAAGCCCAAACAATAACATCCCCCCAAGCCCTGTATCAGGAGAGTGCTAATGGGGGCCCCAAACCCGAAACCCTGAAGCCTGAAGCCCAAACCCTAAACCCTAAACCCTAAACCCTAAACCCTAAACCCTAAACCCTAAACCCTAAACCCTAAACCCTAAACCCTAAACCCTAAACCCTAAACCCTAAACCCTAAACCCCCAAACGACACCTGGTTTTCGAAGTGTCGACCCTGTCCAGGAGTCTGCCCGCAGGCGTGGCAGTGATCCTGAGGGGTGGGTGGCCTTCGGGGGCTTTGCTCACATCATGAGACTTATGAAGGGGTTGGGGTTTAGGGTTTAGGGTTTAGGGTTTAGGGTTTAGGGTTTAGGGTTTAGGGTTTAGGGTTTAGGGTTTAGGGTTTCAGGGTTTCAGGGTTTCAGGGTTTCAGGGTTTCAGGCTTGATGATCATGATGATGATGTTGAGGATGATGCAGATGATGATGATGATGATGATGGTGATGATGAGGATGATTTTGAAGATGAAGAAGAAGAAGAATACTATGACGATGACGATGACGATGATGATGATGATGATGATGATGATGATGATGATGATGAAGGAATCGTATTTTATTATTATTGTTGTTTTATTCTTCTGTATTTGTATCATATACCAATGATTATTTATTGATATAATGTTTCCATTTTTCCTTTAAACAGGTTAGTATTCAAGGACTTGGGGGGGGGGGGGGGGGGGGGGGGGGGCGCAAGCCGCTGGGTTTTGGCAAGCGACTTCGGGCTGCCGAGTCTCGCCCTTCCATGGTTTGGACTGCGGGTCTTCCCGGTTTAGGGTTTCGGGCTTTAGGGTTTTAAAGTTTGGTTTAGGGCTTAGGGTTTAGGGCTTAGGGCTTTAGGGTTTAGGGCTTGGGGTTTAGGGTTTAGGGCTTTAGGGTTTAGGGTTTTGGGTTTTGGGGTTTAGGTTTCGGGTGTAGGGGGGCTGGGATGGGTGATGTAGGGGCCTTCAGAATTAGAATAGGTGTTTTCGGGGCCTATTGTACTAGAATAGTACTGCTTCCGACCCCTCTAGTACCATGATGCATGTGTTTTTAATTTTCCGTTCGGTTGCCAAGTTCCAGGGGTACCCATAACCCTAAACCCTGAACCCAAACCCCTCCCCCCCCCCAACAAAAAAAATCAAAAAACGATCTTTATCTTGGAATGCCCCCAATCTTTCAATGTGTGTGCAAGCTGTACACAACCCAGCCCCTGTGTAACGGTGGAAGACGCTTGCCTCAGGCCAAGGCCTTACTGGGATTTTAGGGGTTTAGGGTCTAGGGAGCTTCAAGGGGGATGTGCAACCCAAGGTTCCCTAATATATACTCCCCACTACTCCCGCAGGCTCCCTAACCTTCCCTAAGGTTCCCCCCGTCCCTTGAGAACCCTATTAGTGCAGAATTCTGGCAAGTACCCCGATCCTGGGGGGCCATATACTTACTTCGCTAGTAGTTGAAGTTTGAGTTTTTTGGCTTTCCTTTTGTAGTAGGACTATGAAAGTTTAACCTTTTTTCCCCTTGGTTATTGGAGAAGTAAGTATATGCATAGATGCGCATACACATGTCTACGCATACGTACACTTTTCGACTCTTGGACCCTAAACTTTTATAACAGAAGGCACACCTCGATGTCTTAAGTTCCCTAACCCTAAACCCTAAACCCTAAACCCTGAACCCTAAACCCTAAACCCTAAACCCTAAACCCTTCTCCTCACTCACAGGCTGGACTCTGCCCGCCGCGTGAAGAGCGCCCGCGCGCTGCCCAGCGGGCGGCTGAGAAGTCGCGGACCGAGCAAGGACGCCCGCTTGGGGTTTGTAGGGTTTGTAGGGTTTGCAGGGTTTGCAGGGTTTGTAGGGTTTGTAGGGTTTGTAGGGTTTGTAGGGTTTGTAGGGTTTGTGGGGTTTGTAGGGTTTGTAGGGTTTGTAGGGTTTGTAGGGTTTGTAGGGTTTGTAGGGTTTGTAGGGTTTGTAGGGTTTGTAGGGTTTGTAGGGTTTGTAGGGTTTAGGGTTCAGGGTTTAGGGTTTAGGGTTGTTTCAAGGGCTTATGGGTTTATGGGGATGGGCTTAATTATAGGGTTTCGGTTCAGGGCTTAGGTATCCAGGGTTACCAGGTGGGGTTTATGGGTTTGTGGGTTTTTTGGGTTAATGTTTTAGTACCTACTCAATAGGGGGTACGGACTAGTAACAGGGATTCAGGGATTCCATGGTTTACAGGGTCTATTGGTTTAAGGGGCTTAAGGGGTTTTAAGGGGTTTAGAGGGTTTAGAGTGTTTATAGGGTGTATAAAGGGTTCATGAGGTTTACAGGCTTTAGGGACCTACCGGATGGTACCCCTAAGGCCCACATACAGGTACCCCAGGGTGCTCAAGTAAATCAATTCTTGGGTCACTTACCCTAAACCCTAAACCCTAAACCCTAAACCCTAAACCCTAAACCCTAAACCCTAAACCCTAAACCCTAAACCCTAAACCCTAAACCCTAAACCGTGGCTTTCTTCTGGCTGGCCGTTGGGACTTTAGTCTTTCGGGCTTTTGTAGAAGCTACAAGAAGGCGCCGAAAAGTTACACTTTGAGGGGGGGCTCAGCAGTCAGCGTAGAGCGTAGGGTTTAGGGTTTAGGGTTTAGGGTTTAGGTTTTAGGGTTTAGGGTTTAGGGTTACTAGCTTGAATTCCTTGAGGTTGTATTGCGAGGATGGGAGAGGCGGTCAGGGTTTGGGTTTAGGGGGCTTTGCCTGTTCGCAAACTCTTTACCTCAACCCTGATCAGGAGCCCGCCCTAAAACCCGAAGCCATAAGCCCATCATCCCCCATAAGCCCTAAGCCTTAAACCCTATGAGCCCTAAGCCCTACAAATTCCCTAAGCTCCAAAACCCCTAAACGAAACCCCAAGCCCTGTAAACCCCTAGATTTTAAACCCCAAGAGTCCCTAGACCCTAAACCCCATGAGCCCTAAGGTCTAGACCCTGTAAACCTCAAGCCTTAGACAGAATTGGCATACAGCTGCGTGTTGCGAGCTTCAAGGTGCTGGCCCAGGAAACAAACAGGAACCTGAGCTGGTTCTAAACCCTAAACCCCAAAACCCTGAATCCGAAACCCCAAACACTACTAACCCCTAAACCCTAAACACTACTAAACCCCAAACCCTAAGCCCTAAACGCTAAACCCCAAACCCTAAGCCCTAAACGCTAAACCCCAAACCCCACACCCTAAACCCTAAACCCTAAACCCCAGCCCCTAACCCTAAACCCTACTAAACCCCAAACCCTAAACCCCAAACTCCAAACCCTAAGCCCTAAACCCTAAACCCCAGCCCCTAACCCAAAACCCTAAACCTTAAACCCCTAACCCTAAACCCTAAACCCTAAACCCTAAACCCTTTGCGCAGGAGGCGCTGCGGCCACCGAGCCGGGAGCCTCGCCGCAATCCGCTCCGGGCCGCGCTGAAGGCAGGTTGCTTGGTTTAGGGTTTGGGGTTTAGGGTTTAGGGTTTAGGGCTTAGGGTTTAGGGTTTGGGGTTTAGGGTTTAGGGGTTTGGGGGTTAGGGGCTTAGGGTTTAGGGGGTTTAGGGGTTTAGGGTGTTTATAGGGTTTAGGATTTAGGGTGTAGGGTATAGGTCTAGGGTTTATATGGGTTTAGGGGTTTTGGGTTTAGGGGGTTTGGGGTTTAGAGGGTCTAGGGGTTGAGGGTTTGTTTTAGAGCGTTGAGGGTTTAGGGTTGAGGGGTTGAGGGTCTAGGGTGTAGGGTTGAGAGTGTGGGGTGCGGGGTTTAGGGTTCAGGGCTTAGTACAGGGTTTAGGGGTCTAGGGTTTGGGTGTTTAGGGTTCAGGGGTGTAGGGTTTAGGGTTTAGGAGTTTGGGTTTTTTAAGGGGCTTAGAGGTTAGGGTTTAGGGGTTTAGGGGTTTAGGGTCTTAGGGGTTTTGGGTTTACGATTTTGGGGGTTGAGGGGTTTGGGTTTAGGCGTTGAAGGGTAGGGTTTCGGGGTTTAGGGGTTTAGGGGTTTAGGGGTTGAGCGTTCGGGGTTCGACTTAATGTTGGACCCTCTTTAGTGTGTTGGGCCCCCCCCCCCCCCCCCCCCCTGAACAGTTGAGGCGTGGATGGGAGCCTGATTACACGGCCCCGGGGGCTTATATGATTTCAATAGGGAGGAGTTTAGATA